AGAGCAGCGGGAAGTGGCGGCAGAGGTGGTACTGCAGGAAGTCTTGGATCCACGCAGGCAGCTACTCAAAGTCAGCCATGGTGTTCACCGAGGCGTTGGCCACGCACGGGGGGCCCCGGGTTGAGCGCCGACGGCTGCGTGGCGGCCACGGGAGCTTCGGTGGGGCCTTCCCACTTATGTGGGGACCTCGGGGCATGGAGGAACCACAGGTGCAGTGCCAAGAAACTCACTTCCACCAGGAGGAGGCCCAGAGCCTTTGGGTATCATGAACCTGTGGCAGGGAAAAGCCATCTATGGGGGAAACCGAGTCAAAGATGAGCCAGGAGTCGTGTTTGACATCAGCGGGATGCCACACTTCCCCCATCATGTCTCTTCCAGAACCCACCCCCAGCCCCTTCTCAATTCTGCTGTTAAGAGGTAAAGAGGAACCCAAATTCCAGAAGCATCTCAGGTCTCCCACAGTCAGAAGTGTCCTTCTTACCCTCAGATCTGTGTATCTCATTGCTTCCTGATGCCCCCCCCCCCTTTCCCCACCCCAGGCTGCCGTCTAGGTCTGGCAGACCCAGTATGTTCAAAGTCACAGTCTCTGTCCTCCCGTGAATCCGTATCTTGCGTTTCCCATCTCGGTCAGTGGTACCACCAGTCACCCAGTTGCTCCAGCCAAAATCCCTGACTCTCTCCCTGCCCTCCTCAGCATATGAACACTCTTCTCATCCTGTTGACTCTGCATCCTGCGAATCTCTCATGTTTATTCCCTCCTCTCCATCCTGTCCAGCCTGGAGCCTCGCTAATCTATTCCTCTCTTTGCCACCAGAGTCAAGGAAGCAGGAGGTGATAGCACTGGACTCAGAAACAGGTTAGAACTTCACCATCTGAACAAGTCAGTTCAGGTCTCTGGGTCTGAATATTCTCATCTATAGCAAAGGGTTAGTCAGTTCCTGTCTGCAGGGTTCTTGTGAGACTTAACTGAGCATGAAGTGGCCAGCGAATGAGTGACACCTGTATTATGACTTCTTTGGCACCCTCTCCCTCCACCTCCTTCTGTTTTTACGTGCTGGTATTTTTTGCTGTTTGACAAACATGTGAAGTCAGGCTCTTTCTGTATATAATCTGCCCAATTGTACCTCAAGCTTGGCCTTCATGAAGACCTCCCAGGACACATCCCAGACCATAATAACCCTACCTGTATTTAACTATGCCCTGCTAAGTTCAGTCGCATTGGTTTCAGCATCTCAAACCACTCCCTTAAAACACTCTCCTCTCTTCAGATGGGCACAAAGCAGGTGTTCAAATCAGTGAAGCACGAAAAACCAAAAGTGTGGTATCCCGGAAATCAAGTAAAAAAGCATGGGAGAAGAGTGCATGATTAACTGCCTCAAAAGCTGCTGACTAGTCAAATAAGATGGAGAACACTGGTGACTTGGAGAGCACTCTCCGTTGAGCAGTGGAGGTGAGAGCCTGATGGGGGTGTGTTGAAGAGAATGCAAACAGAAGAATTAGAGAAAAGTGCTGGCAACTCTTTGGAGGTGGGGGGAATTTTGCTGCAAAAGGAAGCAAAATAAGGTAGTAGGTGATAGGGGAATGAGGTCAAAGATTTTGTTGGGGTTTCCTTTGGTTTATTTTTGCTTTTTAAGGTGGGAGAGATGTTTGCTAATAAATTGTTCATTTGTTCTTGCAAAAAACAAACAAAAAGCAAAGCAGGTGTTCAGTAAAAGAATGGCAGCAGTTAACACCAAATACAAGTGGAGAACCTTGCAGAAGTGTCAGTGTAGTCACTGAGTGCCCATTAGAAATACTATATAGAGGTTTCTATTGCTCTTAACATATTCCTGCTTAGTATTTGATGCATTAAGAGGGACGAGATGAGCTATGTCTATTTTACCATCACTGTGTACTTAGTGCATAGTTCTGTGCCTGGCACTTTTGGGGCATGCAATAAATATTTTTTTCCCATGAATAAAGAATTAAAAAATGAATGAAAATAGAATTTGGAGTCTGAATAGTTGGGCTTGAGTCCTGGCTCCTTTCATGAGTTAACCTCCTAGGTTTCAGTTTCTTCATCTGAAAATTTGAGAACATTAAAACTTTTTTTTTTTTTTGGTGGTTGGCCAGTATGGGTATCCAAACCTGTGACCTCGATGTTAACATTAACACTTTTTTGGGGGGATCTGGGCAGTATGGGGATCTGAACCCATGACATTAAGGCTGTGCTCTAACCAACTGAGTTAACTGGTAGTCCCCTTAACACTCATTTCTCAGTGAAATAAGAAAATAATTTTGTGACTGCTGAAGTGCCATACAAATGCTAGTTAAAAAAAAATTATTAAAAAGCACTCCTGGGCCGGCCCGGTGGCGCACTGCTACAGTGCGCCGCTTGGGAAGCGCGGCGGCGCTCCCACCGAGGGTTCGGATCCCACATACAGACTGGTTCCCGCTCACTGGCTGAGCGGGGAGCGGGGGCAACACCGAGGGTTGCGATCCTGTAGCCGGTCCCGGTCCGGTATGGGCGCAACACTGAGGGTTGCCATCCGTTGCCGGTCACGAAAAAAGACAAAAAGACAAAAAAACGGGAACCCTATTAGTGAAAAAAAAAAAAAAAAAGCACTCCTTCCCCTCCCCCTGGCCCCAAATCATTCCTAGAAAGAAAAATAATCAGCCTTAAAGCAACAATAAATCTTGTTTCAATGAAACTTGCATTTACCTTGATAAACCTGATCCAGGAACCTGGATTACAGCCAACTTTTGATACGCAAGTGAGGAAAAGGTGTTGGGCCTGGACCTGCTCCTGTGGGCAGCGCTGGCTTGCTCAGCTCCATTCTTGGATGCTGCACTGTGTAGCCTGATGGTTTTGACTTGCTGTGAAGCTCTGGGCGTTTGTGGTTCTTTTTGCTGGATCTCCCCTTTTCTCAAGGCACTCTTGCAGGTGCCCTGGAGCCTCTTCTGGCTCTCATCCCTAGTCTCTCAGGACTCTGCTCAAGTACTCCCTCCTCCAGGTCACCTCCCGGTAAGTCCAGATCAGCAGAACCTGTCTCCTTCTTGATGCCTCAGCTGCTGAGTAGCAAAGTTGGTGAAAGAGGACAGATGTGCCTCTTATTCCACCCTTTTGAATCTTGGGTTCCTTATTTGTGGGACCTTAGGCAAGTTATTTATTTCAGTATCTCAGGATTATATGAGTTAATTTGAGTAAGGCACTTAGATCCATGCTTGGCAGGCAGTAGGTACCATAGTAATGTAGCAATTGGCTAACATGAGAGCATTTTGGGGGCAAGGTAGATGATCTTTTTATGGATTAAGTCTAGCTGTCTCACACAGTATGGTATGAAGTTCCTTTGTGATCCTCTAACTACAGGCCTTTCTCACTCTTTACTGCTCCACACATAATATATCTGTTTATTGCTTGCCTTTGAAGTGCTATTCATTCTGCCTAGAATTCCCCACCCTTCTTTTCCCAGGAACTATTTTAGTTATTTCCCTTGCTGGTTTGACACTGAGAGATAGATGGCTGGAACACAGATTCCTGGGTCACCCACCAGCTCCCTACCACACCAGGGTATTCTTGGGGGAATATTTGCACAGCAGATGTGGCAGGCCAAGAAATCTTTTTTTTTTTTTTTTTCTGTGTCTGGCAACGGATCGCAACCCTCAGTGTCGCCCCCGTACCGGACTGGGACCGGCAACGGGATCGCAGCCCTTGGTGTTGCTCCCACGCCTCGCTCAGCCAGTGAGCGGGAACCAGTCTGTATGTGGGATCCGAACCCTCGGCGGGAGCGCCACCACGCTTCCCAAGCGGCGCACTATAGCAGTGCGCCACCGGGCCGGTCCCAAGAAATCTTTTATTACCTGTTAGGACTCTGGCCCCAACCTCCAGGGTGAAGACCTAACCCCCAGGGGCTGCACTGGACCCATGCAGTACTAGCAACTTTTGTCCTGGTTCCTTCCCCCTTGGCCTCCCTCTGCTTCTTGCCTGGGAGAGAAGGATGAGGAGAGGAGTAAAAAGGTACCTCCTTCTCAATAGGAGGAAGCCCAAGCCCCATTTTACCTTGTGTGTCTGAGAAAGAAGAAATAAATGGGAGGAATTCCCAAACTGGGACCAGCCTTTAACTGATGTCCCCCAGGACAGTGGCTTATTTCAATAATCTGGAATCTGACCAGTCCTTGACATCACTGCTCCTCTTTAGGAGTAGGGTGAAGAGGGGGAGGGGAGCTACATTAGGAGGGCAGCTTGCTTATTCTTTAAGGTGAAGATCAAATGTTGTCTCTTCTAGGAGACTTTTCTTGACCCCTTCATCCATCAACTGCTTCATACTCGCCAAGTAATACAGATATATCTTTACTGAAACATTTTTTTTTTCCTTTTTGTCTTTTTTCGTGTCCGACAACGGACCGCAACCCTCAGTGTCGCGCCCGTACCGGACCAGGACCGGCAACGGGATCGCAACCCTCGGTGCTGTGCCCGCCCCTCGCTCAGCCAGTGAGCGGGAACCGGTCTGTATGTGGGATCCGAACCCTCGGCGGGAGCGCCACCGCGCTCCCAAGCGGCGCACTGTAGCAGTGCACCACCGGGCCGGCCCCTTTACTGAAACATTTTAATGCTACAGATTGAGAACAACTCCAGGGCATGTGACCTATTCTGTTAACATAGTGCATGCTTTAAAATCTTTGTTGAATAAGTTGCATGTAAAATTTAGGAGTACTTTTTTTTTTTTAAGGTGAAACATCATTTTTATTTGACAATGCTTGCTACATAATTTAACGTATCAAATAAGCCTAATTAGTTTAATATCTCTCTTTTTATAAGGTGAGAAACAAACCCTTTGAGATTTTTCTGCGGCCCTCTGGGAAATCTCAAAGTTAGTTCAAGGTCAGAGAGATTTCATTTGGAATTTGGTTTTAGGAAGTTTGTCAAAAATATCAAAAGATTTGAATGCTTTGGTTTAATAGGATTATGGATCATTGTGAGACAATACTTAATTATCTATTTAACCAAAGTGACAATAAAAGATTTTAAAGGCAAATACAGAAGGGTACATAGTTGTAAACAAAACTTAGCTGTTTTAATATTGAGAAGACTCAGTTTTTGTAAGTAATCAAAGACCTGATAATAACATGAAGTGCAAGTTATTTTTATATGATGTAAAAATCTTTGTTCTCTATGCAGATTACTTAAAAGGTCAAGAAAAGCCTTTTTATGATTTC